CCACACGACGTAAACAAAGGGATTGTCCTTTACCGCCACAACGGTATTTGTCTATGGAAAACCAACTTTTTGTTTCACCATGTGTCGATAGGTGTGGATGCCAAACAACAGACAAGAATGCCATATGAAAAGAGCTAATTTATGATTTTCGTGGTGAAGTGAAATAAATCCGTACAAATTGAACCAAGCATCTTCTTATATCATGGAATGGCAATAAAATACTTTGGTCTCTTCAGTTATTTTTTTTCTCTTGAATTTGATTATCCTTCAGATTATTGCTTTCAGCATAGTTGTGCAATGGAGGCTTGTTCTGGGCCCGTAAAAAATGTTTATTTTCCTGTGTTTCTCTTATGGGGTAAGTAAAGTACACTGCTGAAATTGAAAATTAATCAAATTGCATGATATATTACATATTTAGCTTAAATGCATGTAATGCCTTCGAAAGACGTACAAAGTTCACTGCTGCACTCTTTTAAGCTAGTTCCTCAAAATTTTACATTTTGCAGTACTAGCTGCGTATACAGTATCTCCCCACTCCGGCTCTCCTTAATCTGACATCACGGTCTCTTATGTAGTTTTTTTTTTTTACATTGGTAACATTGATTTGTATGGACCTGACAGTCAGATTATCAAATTTTTCGGATTAGCGGGGGATACTGTAATAAGTACGCTCTTAACTCGCTGCAAAATCATTCTTGTTTTGTTCATCATCGACGATAATAGCAATAGCATCGTAATCACGAATAGTATCCTCGCTCAATTCTCATTTGTTTCGATTAATTCGATGACAATCACATATTTTCGTTTTACAAATCATATGTTTAAACTTTTGCTGCTCAAACTGCTGCAAACTGCTCAAAGACACACGAGACTACAAAAAAAAGTTTCATAAACTGATTATGAATTGTGCATACGACTGAAAAACAAAACGACATTTCTCGCTGGCATTACTGATAACTTCCTATGCCACTGATTATTAATGTTGACGTCGGACGCGCGTTCCGGTTTGGTGGGCGCGCGACAATGAGATGAATTTTAAGCTTGGATTTTATTTATTGTACATCATTTCCGCATTGGCCCTATTCAGATAACCCTTCTGAAACTTGTGAGTTTGACAGAACCACCAGCACCAAATTGTCGGGGTACACTGGCAATATACTGGAATTGTCAAGTTGCCGTCGGGTTGAACGAAATAAATATGCCAAAAGCTTAATAATGGATTATATGTTATTGTCTGAAAGTTTGAAAAGGATCGGTCAACTAGGTAATTTTATACAGCGTTTTTTCCGTGATGCAATTTGATGTGGGACACCCTTTACATACGGGTGGAGGCTTTTAAGTGCTGAGTATAAGCAAATTAAAAACATTGGAAACGTGTTGCCAAAAGCGGACCCATAGATTGATTGATTTTTTGTAGAATGGTTTTTCAGCTATCCTTTAAAGCGATCCTTGTTCATTGGTTCAAAAATGCTAAATTGAATGGAATGATAGTAGTATATTATGTATATTCTTAAATACTATGAGAAGACATTTTGTCCTCAAATATCCTAAGGCTTATGCTTATAAAACTGACTAGTTTTTTTTTTCAAATGTAAACAGATTCAAAGATATAAATTTACTGAATTGAAAAACCAAGTGATAACATTCCAGGGATTTATTTAGAGTATTTATGAGAATACATCTAAGCAAGAATATTAAATATTTAACTTACAGGCTTACAGGTACCATAAAATTGTCTGGGGGGAGAGGTAGCTCATCGATTCTTCCGGTTCGCCTCCTAGCATCGTGCTATAAGGTACCAGGCGATAACCAGGGTAGTTGATCGATAGCTCGATGACGTCATTTCGTTGACGTCTGCAATGGAAAATTCTCATAGCAGGCGTTGACGATGGGACGTTGTCGAGTTGTTGCATAGCAACTATCGTGGTAACTCACCGATTACCTGTCGATCTGCCAAATTTGGAAAGACGTCTGCATTGAATTGTCTCATATAATAATATTCCGCCCACTATATCACAAGAAATTGCGAGTAGCTGAGTGGAATGGAGATAAGTTAAGCATTGGGTACAGGACCAAGTCTCCCCTGGGTGGTGCCAAAAGATGAGCGCAATAGAATCATCAAGTTGCCATAAGGCACGGAATGAGACTATTGCATGGCTGGGTAGTCAAAGTCTTCCATTCGTTAGTCATTTCAGGTGGATTAGAACAGGTTTAGGTGGGCGTTGGCCAGATTTTGATTTTTTAGATGTAATCCTGGATAGGACCCTGTCATTGAACGTCGCGTGAAAGTGGAACTTAATGAAGGCCTAAGTACTTTTTCGTAGTTTTTAGTTTTCAGATTTGAAAGATCGTCGGTTACAGTGGCCTGCTTACTGAGCAGAAAAACGCGGTCCCAGGTCCTTACATATCAAAGAGATTTATGGTAAAATCGCTTGTGTATCGTGTATTTTGCGAAACTCGTTGTTGTCGTTGGTTCCGGGTTTGAATGGATACACAAATTTGAGCAACGGTATTATGTGATATGAGGGGCTCGGTGACCTTAGAGCAACCGTTTTTGCTTACTGAGCAGAACATCATGAGTCTAATCTCAGGCCCATCCACATTCAAGATTCGTCAATCGTTTTATTTGTTAATATGACTACATGGTAATAACAGCAACTCGGTGATTAAAAAGGTGCTCGTCTGCCTAGTGGCAAACATTTTTGCTTACTGAGCAGAAGACCGTGGGTTTAGTCCCAAGCTCCTTCGCGTTATATGATCGTTAGGACATCAATTCAGCTTATCGTTTACCAAAACGAACCCTGCTGCAAACCCAACCCTCTTATCCAACATCCCAGTGATTCCTCGTGGAAGTGCAGAGGTGTTCTCGGCTTCCATCAAAGCGAGTGTCATGTCAACACAATCCTTCCCATTCCTTTCTTGACCTGTGTTCGGGCGCGGCCGGCGCTGGTATTGCCTAATTTAAGATCACCAGTTTTTACACATTGAGGATGATTGCTAGTCCCAAGCATCGTCTATTGGTTCTCTGTGTAATTACAGCTGATCTGGCAGTAACAGAGTAGCAACCGTGGGCGGTCAATCAAGCTCAAGCAAGTTACAGGTACCATAAAATTGTCTGTTTGATTGGCATCAATACCGCTAATAATCTTGAAAACTCCACTATGACCTTAAAAAGGACATAACTGATCGAAATATTTATCGAAAATGGTCTTATTTCCTTACGAAAATTTGTACACGTTAAAGAATTTGGACACAAACTAATACTGAAATCACCACATCGAACGATATTCAATGACAATAATTGATCTCAATCGTCATCATCACTTTTAATCAGATCGGTCAAAAACTTTTGCAAAGGAAATTGGCACTTTTTTTAATATCTTTATTAAGGAGACTTTCAGCCCTGGGCTGGTTCGTCTCCGTGGACACTTATTGAACGATATTTCATAGCTTCAAACGAAGACAACAAATTAAAAAAACTTAGTGTTCACTCGGCTTTCGACAGAAGCAGGCCACTCTCGATGTGTGTCATGCGCAGTGTTCGAAAAACTTAAAAACTCAATTGTGAGTTTATGCGTCTATGAGTTTTACCTTCCAAAATTCAAAAGAGCAAAAATCACAGATGAGTTTTCAAGTTCAAAAATTCATTGCTTTATATTTTGACGCTATTCATTGTTGTAACTATTGTTTTCACATCAGGGGATCGAAAACTAACACAACACGCATAAGCATGCTATCAATTAACTTTTAGGCGGTTTCTCTGAGTTTTAAGCTGGAATGATTTTGCGGCATTGTGAGTGTGAGTGCGTGAATATGCATGAGAATCTCAAGCATGGATTTTGCTTGCCAAACTCGCATGCAAGTTTATTCTCTCAGAGAGGCTCACTGAATGAGATTTGAGAATGTTTTTCCTAACACTGCAGTGCACCGGTCCACGCGATCGTCTGTTCACTCGGCAGCAAACATTGTGTATAGGGTAGAGAACTACTTCGGCGCTCGAGCAGAAAACTTCAAATAAACCCATGATTTCAGAGTTAACAAGTCAATTATGCGTTTGGTACGATACTTTAGTTAATAAGCTACCGAACGAAGTCAATGAGAACGCGTGATATGAAGGTTTGCACCCATAATTCCCAAAAAACAAAAGAAGCGCTCCCCGACCGAATCAATTTTCATCCTCATCCGATAGGCCGAAGTGAATTCATTGGCGTTTCAATGCATTATGCCGAGTTTAGAATGCGTAGGCCGAGTTTGGCGTCAAGAAGTAGTGTTAGACTTTTAACAATATCTCAACAATTTGATTCTCATTATCAAATCTTACGGTACGTTCGGAAAGGTAAATAAATTTGGAAGCCATCAGTAATAATAACATTCCGTTTGGTGCTAAGCTGCGCTAGTTTAAGAAAGACTAAATGCGGGTTGTGCTTAATAGGCCGGAAATGGGGTAGTTAACCCTAGTGAACGCCATTAGAACCAATCATATTAGGCAGTCCAAATTTTCGAAGTAACAATAACGTACCCATCATTTACAACTGTACATTGGGCCATTTTTTTACCTATGATTATCTTAAATAAATGATAGTAAATTTGTATGGGCGGTTTTGTATCACATACAATGATAGAAGAGCAATAGTTTGATTTGTTTACATTTGTTACTTAGAACCTTTTGAAAACTTACACAAGACTTCTGAATTCAATTCGGCCGAAACCGCTATTAACAATTCTTTAGGTTCCGTTTATATTTTTAACGATTTGACACAAAAATCGTAACGTAACATAAATCTAAACATCTTATCATAAAAGATAAGTAAGGTCATAAAATGCAACAATGCAGAACTCCTCGATCTGGGCATAATGCTTTCAAAATGAATCTCACTACACAAGTAGGACAACAGTAATATAATCAACCATACACCTGCCTAATCCTTTAAAAGTGAGTTTTCTAATTGATAAAATTATTGCCCGTCGTAAGTCGATTTCAGTTCTGTTCGCGAGTTTCAAGAGTGCACAGCAGGATTTACTTAAGAGAAGCGTTACGAGTGAAGCAGGTTAACAATGGTACATCCAGCAATTTATATCCCATTCCAATTCGATGTGGGTCGTAGGGTGACTATTCGTGGACAAATGGAATCGAATGCGTAAGTGCAACTATATAAAGATTGTCGTCAGGTTTGAGCAAGATTGGCACAACTTAAAATGTAACATTTACCTGATACTTTTTATGTTCGGTCCTTATTACAACTCTTTTTCTTTTTGGATAAAAAGTTCGATAAAAAATCACACTGATATAGGTAGGCTGAATTGATTATTACGTCTCATGATATCTTTCTTCAGGACCGCCTTTGCTCAAGTAAGTGAAGGTATGGGGTACAGTTCTGGAAGCGGTGGGCTAAATTCCCAATTTGGTTCAGGAATTTTCCGGTTAGGATTTTTTTTTACTTCCCTGGGCATAGAACATCTTTATGCTTTTGCCATTCAAAATACGGTTGGAAAAATGCTACAGACATAGAAAGTTTCCAATTAACAACTAATGAACATATGTAGAACATTTAGAAGCAGGCTATAGGGGAAGATGGGGTAATAAAAAACACCCAAATTTTACAACTCACTGAATTTTAATAATTAATGATCGTAAACATATGTGTGCAGAATGTTTGCATTTTGAAAAAAAAATGTTCATCTTCAACTAATCTAATAGATTATAGCTAATACCTCTAATAGATGAGGATATCAAAGTATAGAGTTGATAGTTCCGGTAGAACACGGCAGTGTGAAAATTGTATATAGAGAGTAGAAAGCGAGCAACGGTCAATTATGAGGAAGGCACGAATCGGGTTGATCATCTCCTTTACCAAACTCCCCTCGTTCAAAGTGTTTTTTTGTTACTTCATACGCGAAGTTAGCGATATTCAGAGTTGGTTGGAAATGCTAACATGAAGCTTTAGTGTGATAATTTATTAGCTAGATAATGATCTTTATAAGAGGGTAGGTGGATAGTTCCGTTAGAGTACGGCAGTATGAAGACTGTATAGAAGTTGAAAATGAGCGCAGGGCCATTAATGCGACAGTATAAAGTCAAACGCACACCTTTTGCCTAACCCGTACGATGTACGCGGAGACTTGAAGTATGTCTTCAAGTCTACAGGCAAAAGATGTGCGTCCGCCTTTTGCTTATTACTGACTGTGGCTGTGGAATAGTTCTAGCGACCCCAAACTACCCTGTTGGGAAGGGATGGTGAGGGGAATCTCCCCCCGTCGCCACTGGCAGAAAAGATCATTGCCGATTTGCTCTCGTACCTTCCATGTGCGGAAACAGTTCTATCGATTGTATCACACTCAAGTCGCCATCTGACGTATGCAGAAACACGATAAGGGATATATAATTAAGTTTAAGTCTTAATCACTATAAAATTAATCAAAACTATAGTAGTAAAAATGAACGAACGAACCAAAAACATAAATTCATCAACAAACCTTTCCTAATTGTACATGGAATCGAGCTGCTGAGTCTCTCAATTTCATAACGATTTTCACTGCAGCTGCAGCCAACCCCATTTGAATATGGACATAATGGCAAGATGAGTTTTTGCTGTTACCTTCTTCGCCTTTTTTTCGAGGATCTGTTAAGAACCATTGCTGTATGAAATAGCAATGCTGCAAGATAAATCCACGAAATTCTATTGAAAATGTATTCAAAATTTGCAAAAAGTCATCTTGGCCCGGGGGTGTATCTTATGCCATCTTACCCCATATGGCCCTTGTAATTTGACTTTTATAGGTATGAGGCATCTTCAAATGACTTAGGTCTTGGCAACCAACTAAAAAAAGTTGTAAATAGATCAACCACTGGATAAGTACAGGAACTGTTAAAATTTTATCACAGATAAACAGACGTAAGTATTTATCCACGATCATTACACACGTATTTAACGTTCAGAATAAATATTATTGGCTGCGCAAATCCCTCACTACAACGCCGGCACCGGATCACTTTGACATTTCTATACATTCTATAGAACTTGTATGCAACATTATTTAAGGGGCCTCATCGCCTAGTCAGTAAAGGCACGGTATTACCAAGCCGGAGGCGGCGGGTTCGATTCCCGGTCCGGTCGAGGGAATCTTTCGGGTTGGAAATTTTCTCGACCTCCCTGGGAATAGAGTATCATTGGGCTTGCCACACAATATACAAATTCATGCATTGGTATTGGCATCGAAAGCTCTCAATTAATAACTGTGAAAGTGCATTTAGAACACTAAGTTGAGAGCACGCAATAAGCTAATATGAAGAAGAAGATGCAGCATTATTTGAAACTTGGCAAGCAAACTTTTTTCCGCGAATAGCTCGCGAGATGTCGGTAGTAAGTTCCGTGAGGATCCATTTTAAGAAAATAGTGTAAAGAGTTTCGTCTGTTTGTCTTTGATTTTATGAAATACTTCAATAGAAATAACGGTGAAAAATTTCACTCACTTACTTAAGAACATTTTCTTTCATAAAAAAAAAAACATATGCTTAATTTAATTGCCTGTTTCTTATTACCATAAACAGTTTCAAATGTGGAATAATAAGAAACATCTTATTCTTCATGTTATAAATATAACTATAAGATCGGAAAAGGCAAATCATTCTTTTGCTACCGCACAAAATATCCCATAGTTGATCAAGTAAATAAAGCAGTTAATAAAAAATCACTATAGGTTGAAATGTTTCTGGAATAATAATTATTCAATAAGAAAAAAAAAAATATGACACATGTTTTGACCATAATCGGTTTAAGAATGCATAAAAAGGTGTAAATTCGTAATCTTAACAGCTATAGCAATGGAACATGTTTCATATAACCCCATCTTCCCCTGCCTGGAAGTAATGAGTATCAGTATCGATAATGTGGTGGGGCGGCTTATCGTAGGTTCAGAACGTATGCCTGATTGAAAAGGTGCTGCTATCGGCGGCTATCTTCCGGATTAAAGCATCCATCAGTGATAAGATATTATTGCAGGCATAACATTTTTAATTGCATTGCGGATATATCTTTGGTGCATTCTAGACACCTGTGTAAATTGCAAAACATTAAATAAAAAGGTGATAAAATGCGCTCTCAATATCACGCCTGATATAGGAACAAAATATTATGCTTGATCTTGATTTTACAAGCTTATTTGATACTGCGAGACTGTAAAAATGAAGCTGAGAGTTGATTCGGCACACAAATGATTCCGTTGCACATCGATTGAAGTTCTTTGATCTTTTTTGGGAGACACGGGTACGGGAGGTGTTTGCTACCCGTGTCTCCTTGAGATCGTTAAGTTGACGATAACGGGAGCACAGTAGAGGAAAGCTATAGATAGTTGGGTATGTAATTCTGAATACCCGCTCCCGACCCGTACCCAATTCATACAATTTTCAAGAACCCGTACCCGAACTGAAACCGAAATGTGATTTTTTTAAATACCCGTACCCGACCCGAACTTGTAAGTTAGTTTTTATGAATACCCGTACCCGTCGGGTACGGGTTGAGTTTTGGGTAAACGTACTTGATCATCTACAGTTCATTGAACACATATATTTATTTGTATGGTTTCTGTTTTCTTGTGAAGGGACATGACAAATATATGTTGTATGTTGAAGAAATGCGCCAAAAAGTTCGTCTTGATGCTCACAATCATTACTTTCTTAGTTGGATAAGATGCTAGAAATACCCGTACTCAACTATTCCACGTTTGTTGTTACCCGTACCCGACTCGAACCAGAACATTTATTTATTTGCATACCCGTACCCGACCATCTCTTATGCTTACGTCCGATGACGACTTGAGTATGTAACAATCGATAGACCCGTTTCCGCACATTGGAGGTACATGAGCGAATCGGCGATCATTCTATTTGCCAGAGGTCTACGAATGAGTTTGGTAAAGGGAATGCTCGATCCGAGTCGTACCTTCCTCAAAAATTGTCCTTTGCTCGCTCTCTGCTATCTATATACAATTTTCACACTGTCGTACTATAACGGAACCATCAATTATATACTTTCATCTCCTCATCTATTGTATAAAATGTTCACTTTAAGTCTGATATTGAAGTTAGGCATCTCCAACTATAAAATGGAATTGCCCATAAGCTCTTTGATCTTCATTGAATTTCTAGAAATTTTAGCAAAATCTATCGAAATGCCCTTGCAGCTATCGGAACTTATCTGAATAATTTTAAAATTTTCCTGTTGTTCTGCACGTTCTTGACGTTTTCGAAACTTCCTTCTGATGTATCTTTGAATTCTTAGAAATTTCAAGAAAGTCTCGTTCTTGAAGGTTACCGCATTTTTTTGAGATGTAAATGGAAACTTCAAAAGTTCTTCATTGAAAGACCCCCAATTTTCCTGACGACTTATTTAAAGTTTTATGGGCGATGTTCTTAAAAAATCTGTAAAGTTCCTGCATTTATTTTCTGAACTTTCCTAACGTTTCCACAATTACAAAAATCCTGAAGTTTTCTAATAAAACTGTTGCAAATTTCTCTGTTAGTAAATTAAATCTTAGTTCACGACATTTTCCTGAAATTCATTTAACTGTCTTGTAGTTTTCATAATTTGCCCTTAAAGATCTCAAAGTTCTGAACTTTTTTGTAGTTCTCGGAACTAACCTGATATTACCGGATATTCCCTAAAGTTCTTGGAACATCCTTTAAGTTTTAGAAATTGCTCTAATAAGCTCCTAAATTCAGTTCGCTCTTAGCAGTCGCAGGGCAGCAGTGTTAAGCAATAACATAGTGACTAAAATCATTTAAAAAAGTGGCTTAAAAAGACCAAAATCATTTTAAAAAGTTACCAAAATGTGACTTAAACATTGTCAGAAAACGTTCAGAAATAGAATCATGCTAATTGATTTGTCAGTCATCCAAAAAAGGTAGGCATCGATTTCTTATCTGTACGCATTCGTCAAAAGTTTATATTGCAAGATCTTGCACAACTAGATTAAAAACTAACAAAATTGTGTAACACGACTTTTAATAACAGAGATATTTTATCATATTTGAAATTTTTATGGTCTCCTGAATTAAAGTCTAGAATAAATCTATTCTCTAACACGTCACGCTTTTTAGATATGAACTATGATGATCTTGCATCACGAAGGTGCTCTGTGT